GAATGATGAAGTTTTGAGTTTAAAGAGATGTAAGGAGTATTTTGAAAGCGTGTTTATGAGTGAAGAGACAACGTGTGTACTAAGTGAAGTAGAAACACCGAAAGAAGAGGAAAGAGGTAGCGAGATAAGTATAGATGAAATAATGAAAGGCAATGAAAAGCATGAAAGCAGGTAAGGCTGCCGGATATAATAGAGTTTCACTTGTAATGCTAAGGGCTGGAGAGGAAGTGGTGGCAGGCCTACTGCACACCTTGTTTAATTTATGCTGGGAACTGAAGCGGGTACCGGTAGACTGATGCAAAGCCGTGATAGTCCCAGTATATAAAGGAAGAGGGTCGCAGCAGGACTGTAAAAACTACCGTGGCATCAGCTTTCTTAGCATTGTGGGAAAACTGTATGCTAAGGTACTGATTGAAAGGGTCATGAAAGAAACTGATGGAAAAATTTGGGATGTGCAAGCGGGATTTAGAAAGGGAATGGGATGTACAGATCAAGCCTTTTCCATGCGCATGATCGCGGAGAAATTTCTGGCCAAAAACCAAAAGGTTTTTTGTGCGTTCATGGACTTGGAAAATGCCTATGACAGAGTGGATAGGGATTTGCTATGGCAAACACTGAACTCATTTGGGTTGAGCGCTGGCTTGATACAGGCATTGGAGTCTCTTTATAGGGACTGTAGTGCTTGTGTTAGGATCAACGGGGTCTACTCGGACTGGTTTGACATCCATAAAGGTGTCAGACAGGGCTGTGTGGCTTCCCCGTGGCTGTTCAACCTATTTATGGACAGTTGTTTGCAAAATTTGAAAGTTGAAGAATGCGGATTAAGAATGGGTGAGTTAACCGTCAAATGCCTTTTGTACGCCGATGATCAAGTTATTCTTGCGTCGTCGGCGGCCGAGTTGCAAATGATGGTTACATTAATGAACGGATCATTAAAAGAAGACCAAGGTTATGGTTTTTTAAAGAGAAGAAAGTAAAACGATTTGTGAAATAAGAATAGAAGGGGAGTTGATCGAGCAAGTAGATGAGTTTGTATATATGGGCTGCGTATTTAGCAGGGATGGGAGATATGATAAGGATATAGAACGACGAGTGAATGCGGGAAATAGAGTAAATGGGGCCTTGCACTCTATTGTGAAGAGTCAAAATGTGTCGAAAAAGGCACGTATGGCAATTCACAATGCTATGTTGGTCCCTTCTTTAACGTATGGTAGTGAAAGTTGGGCGTGGCAGAAGAAGCACGAGAGTAGAATAAACGCAGTAGAAATGCGGTAGTTAAGGAGTATGTTAGGGCTGAATCTGAATGACAGGGTAAGAAATTGTGTAATACTAGAAGAGTGTGGTTTGCAAGATGATGTTGTGACCAGGATTAAGAAAGGAATGCTTCGGTGGTTTTGGTCATGGAAAGAATGAATGAGGAAAGAGTGACAAAGAAAATTTATGGTGCAGAAGTGAATGGCAGAGTCGGAAAGGGATATCCTAGGCGAAAATTTATCGACCAAATTGGCGATTTATTGAAAACGGGCCAAATTAGGAGTACCCTTAACCGACGAGCATGTATGCGTAGGTGTATGGATGTGAAGGAGGCAAGAGAGGTGTGTCAGGATCGTGCCAAACGGATGTCTGTAGTCTCTGCCTACCCCTCTGGGTGACAGGCGTGAGTGTTTATGTTATGTTATGTTATGTTATTTATCATTTCCTTTTACATATTTATTCAGCCCAAGCGGATGAGAGTACTCTATAAATACCCCAATAATAATAATAATATTTAAAATTAAGTTTAACCTTTCCCTTAAGCAATAAAACCTGTTCAGTGAGCGTCCTCTTTGATTCGATCATAACAAGTCGCAGACATTGTAATGGCTTCTTTACTAATACCTGATATGAGACTTGTAACCCCATAATTGTGTTTATGGGATTACTTTGTAACTAAAATGCATGTGCAAAACTAGTTATGTTATTCACAATACTAATATTCCCATTAATCACTCCAGTTAAGCTTAAAATGCTTGCGTTAGGAGTGATTCGCGAGAATAGTCGAATAGAGGTTCGACTCACAGCCTTTAAGCTTAGTCCTTAGTCCCCACTTGTTTGAAAATAAGTGTGTAAAAAGTGTAGTTGTGTGTGTATTAGCTGATACCCGCTCATTTCATTGGGCGCATTTTGTATAGACGATAATGACGTAAATATAAATTTTTATTATTGTATGGGATTATCGTAAAATCCGTTCTTAGTGAGCGTCTACATTGCGAAATGAGTAAATATGAAAAATTTCAATTCAATCAGGTGTTCAATTTTGGAGATATCATGATGAACGTTTGAAAAAAAAAATTTAACAATTACTTTTGCCCTTTGCCATTTTATTGTTTTAGTGCCGTTCGTAAAGTAAGGTGGATATGATTTCAATTTCGATAGATTTTAATTTATTTATTTATTTAATTCAATATTTTTGTTTTATATTTTGAAAAATATAAGTGCCATAGGGTTCTACACCGTTCACATGTTACACCATATTTTTTTCCAGACGGTAAAAAAGGTGTACTGGATGACCTTTTTGTAAATAAGTCTTTTCACGTTTATATAAAAATTTATGTCTCTCAAAAACTTTGCATTTATCTATATGTCTTCTTTTGTTATAGCCTATCAAAAGTCCATAACTGAACAAAGACCAACCAATATATTGCCTCATAGGGGCATAATTTACCTATTCCTTTCACGTATACAATAATGTTAAAATTAAAAGCCTGTATTTTTATTCCATTCACGTCTGTAAATAATGTAATAATGACTAGATACGAGTAACCTGACGACCTCACCGAGAAAAATACATAAAAAAGAATTAATATACCATTTTAATGTATTTCAATATTTTTAACGTTTTCTAGCGACTTTTCCTTAAAAAACGTTACTCTCACTCTCTCCTTTATCTCGGAGGCAGTTTACTTACATAAATTGTACAAGGACAAACATCCACACCGTAAGTCACTGTTAAGTCACGTCGCCACGAAGCCTTCCGACTTGTGTACGTGTCACGTCGGTTGCGCGGGTTGCATTTTAAAATTAACATTATTGCACATCTCGAACGGGCAGTGTTGGTTTTACTGTCAACTTGTCAAGGCCACACTACCCGCATTCATTAAATCTGGTATATGTATTTTGAATGTCACATCAATTACAATCACAAGTACTTATATACATTATATTTCTTTATTCTATTATATTTTTCTTGTCTTTCTTAAAAAATGTTGGGGCTTCATTTAAGCCTCGATTTTATATATATATATATATATATATATATATATATATATATATATATATATATATTTTGTAATATTATGACGAAATAGAAATCATACACGGGGAAAATTATTTGCCTTTTTCGTTCCGTGGCTTTAATATTTACTGGCTGGCCATGTTTTCCTTGATTTTTTTTTTACAAAATATAACATCCATAAAGTTTGCGTTAGAGTCTAGAAGGGTTAGTTAATAGAGTTTCTCATTTTTTTAACGAAAAAGTATGCTTTAACAGTAGTCAAATAAATTTCAGCTAAAAGCAACTGCAATAACTAAGCGAAAAGCAGAGCGAAATAATTCTAGAATTTTTTTATAATAATACGCTGCGTAGCATTGCTTCAAAGTAACCGAACACGCCTTCCGGTCAAGGCTACTATAATATTTAGCTTGAATCGTATTGATGATCCGTGAAGGCCACGTCAGTTATTATATAATGTCGATAGTGTTGTGCTTCTGTTTTGATTTTTTTTGAAGTCTCGAAAATCGATTAAAAGAAAAAGAGACAAGCATACAGATTTAATCTGCGAGACAAAGAGATAGAATACAGTGTCGTAAGCGCCAGTAGCCTAATGGCATAGTGCGGACCGCAAATTCAAAAGGTTATGGGTTCGAATCCTCCATTCGACTACTGTCGTGAACCATTCCTCACACAAGCAGTTTAAGTTCACCTGTAGTGGTTAAAAGGAATATTAGTAATGTTAATAGCTCGCGTTCGAGACGAGTTACCGCCGCCGTCGCTTGACACAATGTGTTAGACTTGTATTAGAGTGCCGAAAAAAGCCGACATCCGACAATACACAATTGTTTATGTTAAAAAAATACCTATCTATGAACACTAACTGATGTTTGTACTCCGAGCATCGAATTGTTTATTAGGTCTAGTAAACATTTGATTCCATTTTTACATCACACTTCAATCTTTGGACTGTCGACTGTGAATAATTGTTTATTGATTACGATACAATGTATAGGCAATATTCGTTACAAACTGTTATGTATTATCATAACATTTTAATTGTAATTGTAAATAATAACGAACTGCTAAAAATAAGAGGCGGCAATACTTCCACCATAATTCAAATACGGCGTATTTAAAAGATGTGAATCTAAATATTTACAATAATTAAAAAAAAAAACAAATACTTAACTTACTGATACCTGATAGCCTAAACACTCATGCAACGTTCACGTTGTGTTTTTAATACACTTTCAAAATGTCCACCACCTTGTTCAATACATTTTAATGAGCGTTTTCTTAACTGGTATTTTAATTTAGAAAGCACTTCAGTGTCATTTTTCACTATTTCAAAAGCGTTCACTATCTTATTTTTAGGTCCTCGGCACTTGTTGTCTCACTAAAATAGACTAATGATTTAATACGTCCCCACAAAAAAAGTCAAGAGGCGTCAAATCAGCTGATCTGGGAGGCCACTGAACCGGGGCGCTGCGTCCGATCCAGTGCTCTCCAAACTCATTATCAAGGTGCTGTCGAACACTCCTAGTATAATGAGCAGGGGCACCATCGTGTTGGTAGTATACCTCTTGTAAATTGTTAAGAGGTATGTCTTCTAGCAGCATAGGTAGAGTTTCCTGTAAAAACAGTAACGATGCGTCTCCTGTTAATCTTTGTAAGAACACAGGCCCCAGTATGTGTCTACCAATGATACCAGCCCAGACGTTAACTGAGAAACGGTGTTGGAAGGAATCTACTCTGCATGCGTGAGGATGACACGTGTGAATGTACTTTCATCTGTCCAAATTATGTTCCGCTGCCAATTTTCTAATAACCAACGGCTGAACTGCAAGCGTGGTGCGTAATCGTTCGGAGTCAACTCCTGGCATCTTCTGAGGTGGAATGGATGTTCTTTATCACCACGAAGTGTTCTCCACACATGCATATAACTACATTGAAAGCGTGGGGCTGCTTCTCGAGTACTGGCATGGAGATTCTCATCGAAATAGTCCAGTATTTCGTTCTGAAGACTACTACGTATACGCACATTGGCTCCCCTGTCGATGGCCGTGTTCGGACGGAACGTTCCGTGGTCGCGAAGCCGTTGAGTAGCAGCTAACATAGTCCTGCGGTCTATTCTTGTACCATACCTTTGGTTGAATGTTCTGCAAGCTAGAGCCACAGTATCACCACACTGTGCCAAAGTCCTTACCATTTCGGTGTACTGAACGTTGCTGTATTGGAAAGACATCGCGCACGAAAAATTATTTGCAAAAATTCTCGTGAGCACTTTCTACTCATAATGTCCGCGCGTTACTAATTATAATTAATATTCTTTTCATTTAAGTTAGCTTTCATCGTTGCCGGCTAGCGCGGAGCGCCCGCGCCGGTAACGTGCTATCTCGCTCTATCCCAGGTTCACAAGGTTCATCGCAGCACTGGAATAATAATGCTTCCTGTTCCTTCAAGCTACACTCTGCGCTACAGTGTTCAGCACGGCTCTGAGCCTTACTGCTCGCCTCTGCTTCACGGCACTCTCGCAGATTACTTGCTTTCTTCTCGACTCACCGCAGATTACAAGGCAATCTCCTGCCACTTGCACATTCGTCAGCAACGAGGCTGCACTATCGACCTCCGGTCTGAGCAGGGGGGTGATGTAGCGGCGCTGTCGTCGCGTCACTAGCACACCGAACCCCTTCCCAGGAAATAAGGTTCATTTTTCTTTATTTTGTATTGAATGACGGAATTTGTATTAATACAAATAAAACTGCACTTTTAAAAGTCTTATTGCCTTGAGTTACGGTCTATTTCAGTTTAATGATTTCTTAAATTTACGCGAACACTACACATTGAATAAAACTATTATTTACGGATTTTATCGCGTTTAATTACTTTAATTTATTTTTATTATTATCCCGACGTTTCGGGTGCTTTACAGCGCCCATGGTCACGGGGGGGGACTGAGATGTTTGACGTCCCAATGTCATAGTTAGTCCGGCTACCTTCAGTTTTTTAATATTAATTTTTGGTCCGATTTACGCAAAACGAGCTTATAGTATCATGAAGTCTTGCAGTGGTATGCTTGGGTTTGGGTTTAATTTTGTTGATTATAGGATCCCAAGCAGATGGTAGCACCCAACCATCTTCTCTATTGAAATTTGGATGTTTTTTAATTTCAATAGCCTCGCGTATCATCCTTGGTAGGAATCGGTGTTCTTTTGCGAGAATTTGTGGTTTATCAAATCTAATGTATAATCTCATTCCTACGTGTGTCAAAATATCACCAAAGAAGGATATTCGAGGAAGCGCTAAGATCTTAAATCAGGCAAGTAAAAAGTTGTTACGGACGGTGATTCAGCAGAAACGGTTCGATTTACATTTCATAAACAACACCATAGACAATTTGTCCAGTGAACTAAAGACAATTTTAACGACATTTGATTTTAATAATTGCATCGAAACTTTAAACAAACGAGAAACATCAAAATACAATGAATGCAAATATAAACAAATAGAAAAATACCAAAAATTAACGATCAAATCAAATGCCAAACATCCAAGTCAACGCCAGAACAATAAACAACCGTTGACCATAGACACAAACTATAAACAACGCACTGTCTATAATTTGTCAAAACATACACTGGACGAACCGACAATGAAAGTATTAGCGAAGGGAATGAACTTCGCATTAACTCCGCGAAAAATCCCGTACGAAGAAATTATCTGCAGTGTTGAGGATTGTCTGTTTAAGAATAATATCGGTAAGGAAGATTTGGAGGCCATACGTCAAGATATTTCGTCCTTGTTACGTCGTAGTTCAGTGCCGAAACCAAACCTTCCCAAAGACGAATTTACAGCGCTAAATAACTTACGGAACAGACCAGAACTCACGATTCTCCGCGCGGATAAAGGAATTGCTACGGTAGTAATGGACGCGTCGGAATATAATTTTAAAATACAACAACTTTTATCGGACGAAAGTACATATAAAAAAGGTCAAAACAGTAGAACCTAACTTTTTGTGTAATAAAAATAATAAAAAATATATATATATATATATATATATATATATATATATATATATATATATATATATATATATATATATAAAATAATATAAAAATAATATAATATATAAAATAATGAGATAGAGACAAGTAAAAGTACCAGGTATATATATATATATATATATATATATATATATATATATATATTGTAATATTATGACGAAATAGAAATCATACACGGGGGAAATTATTTGCCTTTTTCGTTCCGTGGCTTTAATGTTTACTGGCTGGCCATGTTTTTCTTGAATTTTTTTTACAAAATATAACATCCATAAAGTTTGCGTTAGAGTCTAGAGGGGTTAGTTAATAGAGTTTCTCATTTTTTTTAACGAAAAAGTATGCTTTAACAGTAGTCAAATAAATTTCAGCTAAAAGCAACTGCAATAACTAAGCAAAAAGCAGAGCGAAATAATTCTAGAATTTTTTTATAATAATACGCTGCGTAGCATTGCTTCAAAGTAACCGAACACGCCTTCCGGTCAAGGCTACTATAATATTTTGCTTGAATCGTATTGATGATCCGTGAAGGCCACGTCAGTTATTATATAATGTCGATAGTGTTGTGCTTCTGTTTTGATTTTTTTTGAAGTCTCGAAAATCGATTAAAAGAAAAAGAGACAAGCATACAGATTTAATCTGCGAGACAAAGAGATAGAATACAGTGTCGTAAGCGCCAGTAGCCTAATGGCATAGTGCGGACCGCAAATTCAAAAGGTTATGGGTTCGAATCCTCCATTCGACTACTGTCGTGAACCATTCCTCACACACGCAGTTTAAGTTTACCAGTAGTGGTTAAAAGGAATATTATTAATGTTAATAGCACGGCTAGTTTTATTTTTAAATACAATGTTTCCTTTTATCTTGGTCTCCTCTTTATGCGCTGTTATTTAAGGTGGATTATAAAAATTTTAACTGTAAAAATTAACTTTATTTTTTTACAAATGAATTAAATAAATAAAATAAACCTTATTGAATGAAAATATCATATCCAGTTCATTCATATTGAAAAGGACCAGGGTTCGGGGTCCTCTCAATCCGGCCGCGAAGGACCAATTGAAAAGGACCAGGTCGGATTTCCCTCTTGATCCTGAAAAGGACCAATTGAAAAGGACCTAGCGGATCGGGTACTAAGAAACAGGAATCGAGGCTTCTCTCGATCCGGCCTCCTATCACGCCTACGTTGGGTTCGGGAACAACGTATGTGATCTCCGCAACGGAGTAACACACTAGGGCGATAACCTCTTCCTTTTCAGCAAGTAGGTTCAGACGGGGATTACGGGTCTTCCGAAGTCGTCCCGGTCCCGACGCCTTAATTCTTCGATGTGGACTGTATAACTTAAAGGATCTTGGGAATGAAACAGCAATTATCTTCAAACCGTTCCGTGAGAGAGTAATCACTTTTCCCTATACTGCTGGTTTTTCACTTTTCTTGAACTTTTTCCCGGATTTTCTTATTTATTTCCGAACTATTTCCTTGAATATTTCCCGAACGATTCCCGAACTATTTCCGAACTTCCCCGAACGAATTGCAATAAAACCCGTTCACTAAGCTACCCCAGAGCTATACGCGAAAGTGAGCCGCGCCATCTGCGCGCTTGCGCAACTTAATTACATGAATTTGTACTATTACTCTCTCACGTTTCACTCAATATCTTTATTTATTCAAATCATATACAAATACAATTTATCAATATAGGTAGTACAAAACAATATCTACACCATGATATACATCATATCTTCATATCATAAAAAACCTTTTATTTATTAAACGAAAACTGCCTATTTTACTCACAAGTTCGAAATCGAAATTTCTTAAATATTTAACACAGAAAGTTAAAACAATGTTTCTCACTTGAATTTATACATAAGCTAACCAATACAATAGTTTAATTTACATTTTTTCTATTTATTTCACTATTTAAAACACTTTTAAATTTCTTATACAAAACTATCATTATTTCACTTATACACAGGAATTTTCACATGAAAATAACACAGAATTTACCTTTTTAGCACGTACAATTAACCTGAAATATTTTACAAGTAATTTTTACATAAATCACTGAATTACAAACATTTTAAATTTTTACATATTCGGCCTCCTAAGGGCGTGGCCAGCGTGCTTCCGTGTACTCACGCTATGTGAACAACTAACTTTGCACGGCTCTCGGCTATCAGAAAAAATTAAATTATGAAATACACCAATTTTGACCATATTAGGCAAATTAAATGCTTTTATACAATTTTCGAACTGTATGAAACTATCTTTAATCAGATAACAATATAAATGAATGTTCTCATTAATCAATCATAACAAATAGGCATTTGTTTTCGTACAAAACGTATCAAACTTATACAAAACAACATTTATGCAATTAATATCCATTAATTCTGCCTATGCACAGAGTGATTATCTCGACCGGGGGAACAAATCCGATCTTTAACTTCACTTTAATATTCTTATGAATTTACATCATTTGAAAGATGATTTCAACCGGGGAACAAATCCGGTAACATAATTTATATCTTAAATTCCTTACGAATTTATTAAGCGATATTACTTAGGAAAACAAACAAACTAGTCCGGCCTGGGAGTCGAACCCAAGACCTTCATATCATTAATTCGACATTTCTTAAAGATTTAACTAAGCATTCTCTTATCAGAGCGTCGTTGCTCGTGACTGCCCCTTTTTTCATAGCAACGTCATCGGTTGATTTAATAAACTGAAACATTTTTATAGGCGCGTCGCCAACACATATCAATCCATGATTTCATAACTTCAGACTATCTAGCGTATCACTTTGAGAGTCAATACATTTTTGTTCGATATAATAACTACCTATAGAATTAAGTAGATGGCGCTACTGCAAAGCAATTTTACTTGAACGAAAATATTCTATTGATTTATTACACAAAAAGTTAGGTTCTACGTCACTATAAATAAGGATCGTAACATTGATATGCTATAAAATTAAACTTTTATCTTAAATTTTATGCAACACTTGATGTAGTGGTTGAAAATTATCATACTAAATAAAACACTTATAAAATAATATTCGTACTTTAGTTACCACAAGCCACTCGTGTCATATGTATAAATTGAAATTTTGGAGTCTGTTTAACATGTAATGTATAATAAAAAACTTGTTGACAATATTAAAATAAATGAACCCTACAATT